AACTAGCGACAAGCTCCACGGGAAGGTAGACACGAATTCATTAAACCGTTACGAAACACATTAATATTCACTACTAAAACCGTCACCAAAATTAGTAGCAAGTTTAGAGTGCGAATGTAAAATTCACTCACTCTAAACTTGCTATTAATTTTGGTGACGGTTTTATCTCCGATACACTCTCCGAAACTTACACAAATACGTAGAATCTCTGAAAACTTTCTACTTTCGACCATAACGTCTGTAATTATCCATCCCTAATTCGTTAGGAAGTAGCCCGCTACGCCGTCCTAAATTTACGATATCGTTACGAAATTTGAACGAAATACTGCAAATAAAAATCACATTTTAAAATGCATCAAACAATTACCACTGTATTTTTCATTATTAATAAATTATTTACCTGATAACCGGTCTTGAAATTTTGTTATTCCTGTCTGATAACTATCGTTGGAAAAAATAAGTAAATCCACATTAATCAGAAAAATACTTTTGCCACATAAACTCAGAAATCATTTCATATAATGACAGAGGAAAACAGAGGAAATCATTTCATATAATGACAGCTCTTTTACAGACTCGCCGCCGGCATTCGCCCGTTTGACCTTGATGTATTGTATTTAGGATAGGCTGTTCGGCTCTCTTACTTCTTATCTTTACTTTCAATCATGAAAAGGAAAATATTATCCTACGCGAAAATTAATTAAGCAAAATCGAATATATTCGAAGTGACTACAGAAATATCTCGAGTGTTCTTCCGATCGCTTCGATGTATTAAATGAAAAGGAGGAACAAAGACCAACCCTTTTCTATATAATATCTTTACCCTGCGCTTCCGGAAGAGAGTGTAACTATATTCGCCGATGACCTAGTTTATAACGTTACTTCGGAGATCCAGATACTCGAAACCGTTATAAGTAGATCCTACGGTTGTTTATGTTAATAATAATGATTTACAAATTAATCATAAAAAACACAACTATTATTTTTTGCATAAGAATAGTTTGCTAATATAGTTATCGGATCCACAGACTTCGAGTGTGAAACATCAGGAGGTTATAATTAATTATAAACGGATAGATTTAAATATACTCGAAGCTTCCTGTCCTTTAAACGTTGTGTTTCTAAATCGTATTGTACGTTGATAATTTAAGGACTTATCGTACGGGAAAGCATTTTATTTAGATGAACAAATCATATTTTTGTCACTTTGTATTAGTCATAGCCATCCAAAGGCACGCAACGTCGTAACACTTTCGGCACTTTACTGCCATCTTGTGTGAATTAAAAGAAAAACCCTTTTAAAAATCAATTTTTTGTTTTTATATTTTTGAATATATTCATTTTTTTTATTTTTTCTGCAAATTCTGCAAATTCAAAAATGCAATTTTTTCTGCAAATTCAAAAAATAATTTTTAACGATACAAGAGCCACAATTATTATTTTACAAAAAAATTTCATTAGGCTAAACATCGACGAAAATTCGACGCGAAGCGACACGCAACGGAGAAAAATTTCAACGGCAGATGGGTTAATATGTTTTTTCATGCATCATCATTATCGGAACAACCCGTCTCCAATTGTTTCGGATAATCGATGCTCTACTGTAATAAAGTTAAAGATCATTAAAAATAAACGGTAATAAAATACATAAAAGTAATAAAAAGTGGCGAATAATTAATAATAAACATTTAAATTATCAGAGATTATAACTTTTTTAATTAATTTAAATATAAAAAAATAACTAATATTTTTCTTACTTTGTTCCAGATTACGAAATAAAATTCAAAGGTGTTTTATTGAATTTGTTCTGAAAATCATTTATTGTCTGGGGCTTAATACTACTGTATATTCTAGAAAATAAATAAAATAAAACCCGATTCGCTACCTCACTATTCGTTGTTTTACTAAGATGTTTGTATTAAGATTAAATAAAGATACAAGAATAATTTTGCAAATTTGAATAGAAAAAGGCTTTGATAAACTATTTTATCCGCTACTTAAACGCGAGGTTCCTTCAAGAAAACCCTGAGCTCGAAGGGTTCCCGAAAGTGTAAAAGGTTAAAGACCCCTGCTTTAGACAAAACCAATCCGTAAATTGGCCAATTTCAACTGCTAACAAAAGACTCGCAAAATTAAAAGATTTTTTTGGTTGTTAAAAAAGTGCAAACAGACAAAATGAATAATTGTGACGCGTTGCATTTATAACTGAAAAAAAATAAAATACAATATCGTTACTCTTAAGACAGTTGAGCTGTATACGCAGGGTGTAGATTATTTAATTCGGAGAAATAAAATGTTATCGTTCATAATATTCATAATATTCACTTATCTATATATATAAAATTGCTTGTCCTGACTGACTCACTGATTCATCATCGCCCAGAGCAAACCGCTGGACCTAAAGAGNAGAGAGTATTAATTCTTTATTCCTAATATTGTGCTAATAGCTTCTCCATACATCTGGCTCGTCCGTCTTGCAGTTCTTCTCGTCACTCCTTTTAACTCGTCGTCATTTATTAGCTACGTCCTGTGACATTTAGCCAGCATCAAAGGGATTTATTTTTATGGCTCTTACTTATAAGCAGTATTTGTTCCATTTTCTTATTATGTAGATGGTTCGATAATTTCATAGATGTTATGAAATTATCGAACCATCTACATAATAAGAAAATAGAACAAATACTGCTTATAAGTATAACACTATTGATTTTGACATATGTACGGAAAGATGAGATGCAATTTGCCTCAGACTCATTAAAGAATTGATAATTTTCGTCACAACACTATTTTGAACGCAAATTCAGTGAAAAGGATTTTCTATAGGTTTTTTTTGTTCCATTTTCTAGAATTTATGTTATTCGGCGCATGATGAGAACGATTTCCCTCTTCCTGTAATAAACACTTTATCGTAGTATCAAAATTATTTTTTGTAGAATTCACCCCTAATTTACCACTTTTCTCTAATTTATACTACCTTGTGTGCTTTTTCGCATATTATTTGCAATTTAACTACCGAAGCAAAGATGCCCCTGCCATTCTAGAACAAGTAGACCTATATCCTATACAACATAGTTAAAATTCATTCATATTTTTATTTTATTACTGTTTTTTGATAAAATTATTATTACACGATATTCTCGATAAACGAATAACCAATTTCTCTTCTATTATTTTGTAATTTTCTTTACACACAAATTAGAAAGAGAAGAAATGACTATTCCTGTGGAAAAATTAGAGGCCAATTGGGCCAAAAGGTGACTGACGACGTGTTAATTACAAACCTCTATATTCATCTAGTAATGGCCATAAAACACCGTTTGCGTGGGAATCAGTCGCATAATGCGCTTCTTTTTACGTTATTAACAGATTTGTGTAGCTCGTGTCGTTATTTTTTATCATCTTAAAGGCTACAATACGAACAAATAACTAAATACTAAATACGAACAGATTAGAAAACGAATTAATACGTATTTATTACTGAAATATACAAAGATTTCAACAAAGTTTTAAATCAATAAAACTCGGCTAAAGAAAATTAACTTAAGTACATATTTGAATACTTTTTTACTTATACATTCTAAAATATAGGCCTAAATAATTTTAACTTGTATTCTTTAGTTGCGAAAACCGATGTGTATTATTATTTTAAAGTTTGTTTAAAATAATAGCGTTATTTTTAGAACACAAATATTACATAACGGAAGCTGGGAAAATACTGTATGTTACATTGGGTAATATGCAGCATTTACTGTATTTAGTAAACCTTAGAAGAGATGGCAATATTGTTCACAAGGTAACATGCACCGAAGTGGCGCTAACCGGTAGTCCGGATAATATGCCTTGTGCGATATACTACTCTGTATGTCTTACACTGATTTTAGAAAAAAAAAAACTGAAATGTGACCGGATTTGCTGTGTACAGTGTCTGCATTGGATTCACAAAATATGCTCGCCATCCGATCATTTCTCTGACTATTGGACAGAAGACATTTAACAAAAAATACTTAAATTTACTGCTTACCATTACTCATTAACTATTGTGTATCTTCACAATTAAGCATAGTTAATTGCGAGTTACCCTTTTAAGCACAATGCCAATTGATATGGCACTAGCCGTAACGTGACCATATTACCCCGCTGTTAGGAAAAAATGGTATTTTGACACTTTTTGATTTCATGCTGCTTTTCGATTAGGGGCTGTCCGTAAATTACGTCCGCATTCTTCTTAAAATGTTTATTCTCCCTCCCCTTGTCGTCCCAGTTGGTCCAAGTTTCCGTAACCTCCTCCGCTCTTCGAACGTCCACCAAAAATCGGCCCACTTAAAACCTTTATTACTTTAAGATTGATAAATACAATATGTAAAAACGAAATATTCAATAAATTTTGAAATAATTGCGGTATATCGAAATGCACAAATTGTATAAATTTTAATACAATATATGGACGTCCACAAAAGTTCAGTCTCTTTCCTCCCCCTCGTCTGACTTGTCTTGACTATATCCCTCCATTCCAGTATAGACATCATTCATGGACATCGCCTTACATTCGCTTCGTATTTGGGGAAATATCTATCTGGTAGTGTAAGTAAAAATTATACAAATACTTTCTTGACTTTGTTCTGTTTGTGTACGGTCGCCGTACATTTATAAAATAAAATTTAGTTGCCATATTTCCCCAGTTTACTATATAGTTTATTAAAGCTTCTCTTGTATTGAACAAATGACAATAAACAGAAATATAATGGGCACAGGAAAAATAATGTTCGTGCTCAATCTATAAGAATGTTGTGCTTAATAAAATAAGAATTAACTAAAGTCAAACAAGCATTTAAATAATAAACTCTCGAAAACAAACAGAAATATTTATAAAATATATAAAAGAGTACGGTTATTTTCAACATCAGTAACGGGAGCAATATCATCAACAGTAATTTAAAAGTAATTTCAATATATTATTTACATATAGATCATTGGGCGTATAATGTCGACTAAAATTTAATAAAAGTGAAAGCTTAACAAGAAATTTTTATAGCAATAAACCCTATAGAAAAATTTTAATTGGTCGAATTGGGGCGTAGTAACCGAACACGCGTACTCGTGTATTCTGTACTGTAATTAAATGAACGCTTCGCACAGTTATCAAATACTTTAGCGTTGTTCTAATTTGATTGCACGTAAAAGGTAACGTCTCGTACTTAATTATCGTCGATTTCTTTCATTGCCAGATTTACCACTCCACGCGGAGCAGATTTTTGTTTAGGAAAAATATCGTTTACGTTCTCGTCTTCGCGATTTTGTCTTTTGCACGAATTTCTGCCAATCGAACTTAAAAGAGTCATGATGACGGGAATAAATAACACTCCGTGCAAGATCGCTATGGCACAAGAAATGCTTATTATGATTACTGCGTCGTGCGATTCGGGCGAAGGTAAAAATATATTCATTATTAAGGCTAAAACGGTCGTGGTACAACCTTGAATGACCGGTATTCCGGTCAAAGATACGGCCCTAACTAAACGACGATTAGGATCGGTATCGTTGGAGGAGACGTAAGCACACGACACGTGGGCCGCGTTATCTACAGAAAATCCAATAACGATAATGAACACGGTAATAGAGTTGAAGTTCACATTAATGTTACAGTACGACATGTAACCTAGAACGCCTATCCCCGCAGAAACTATGTCTAACAGTACACATAAGATAGAAACGTAACTCGGCAAGAGAATAACGCAAACGACAAATATTGCCGCCAACACGACAGAGAAAGTTTGGCTAGCCGTAACGGGAATTATATCGACTAAATCGAAGTAGAAAAAATTCCAATTATATATAATTCCAGTCAATGGAGTTTCATCTAATTTTCTTTTCATTTTCACTAATTGAGAATAGAAATGTTTTCCGTCTCTAGTCACATTCGTTTGAAGAAAGAAACGAGAAGCGACGATATCTCTGTTATTTGAATCGAACGAAATGTCGTTTTTAAATCTTTTCGCCTCGGGAATACGAAGAAAAAAATTCTTAAGAACAAATATAAAATCGTCGGTGTTTGTCAAATTATACGAAGAGAACAACAGAGATATTCTCTTATCCGAGACAAACCGAAGATAACTTCTCAACCAGGATTCCGTCATTAGCGATCCACCAATCAGAGGATCGGATTCTAACGTTTGCATCGTTTTTTCTACTTTCTGTTGGACCAGAGGATCGGCGTAATCCAGCTTCTCTAGAATAATAAACTGTAACCTGTGTTGATATTGATAATAATATTGTTTCTGTAATCTATAATATCGATCTCGATATGTGTCCCCGATGACGTTTAAATTTAAATCAGCTTCAAAAGACAGTTTGGTAATGCCCCAAATTGCGAACCCTAAATACAAGAGATACAATATTATTACAAAAAGTTTTGCAACATTCGTTGTCAGAGATTGGATGAAATTTTCCCACGTGTTACTAATAAGCCAACAACGACTGTTTTTATCGGTGGATTCGGCTTGAACGTAGCAAAATATGTTTTTCAGTAAACTCTTTCTACCTGCAACTAAAAATATTCGTGTTATTTCATTTTCTATAAATCCTGTAGACAAATATAACTTTTTCCAATAGAATATAATTATTAAATAAGTAATGATATAATTCAATAATTATTATCTATTGACAAATATTTATTTAATATTAATTTGTTTTTACCTGTAGAAGAGAATTTCTTCAAAGGAAGAAATAATAAGGAATGTAAATTCTTTTCTTCAGCTTTTCCACAATACACAAAACAAGCTCCGATAAACGTGATTTGGTAGATGTAGTCAAAGGTCAAACACGTTGCCATGAATAAGCAGAACTCTCGAAATTCGGGTACCGAATTAAATATAATCCCCACTACGAAAGAAGTGATGTTGGTGAGGGATGTGATGGTTATAGAAACACCCGTTTCGGAGAACATTTCTGCCATTTTGTCTTCTACAGATTTTGTCTTTTCTGCTTTCATCCAAGCCGATAACATAATAAACGTATCGTCCATCCCGATTCCTACATGCAAAGACAATAATACAATCTCGTTTACGATAGTAATTTTTCAGCGTGTAATATCCGAAATATTTCAACTGATTATCTTTCGTTTTACGATAAAATATATGTAATTTATAAATTAAACTTAATTACCTTTACATTATTATAACAATTTAAATGTACTGTACAATACTTTGCAAAGATAACCTAAAAATATTCTTGGATAATTATAATGATTTACTGAAGATATGCTTTTCATTTTGGTTTGTGTAATGCCAAGAGCTTACGTACTTACAACACTACGAATAAAAGTACAGCTTTTTACGTTATTTTCTTTTCTTGTGTTTTGCCATAAAACAATTTAAAATAGTTTCGTCGTATTTGTACGATTCTTTCTTATTAACTATCTCATCTACTGCTAATACATTTTAATTGATTTTAAAATCATGTCTTGTCCTCGCCTTCTGTACATTTCAGCTATTTTTTTTTCACGAAATAATAAGAATGACGGAGAGTGCGGTGATGGATTTTGACACCTCATAGATATTTTTTTTTTTTTTGTCGTTTACTCACATTTATGTAATATGTAAACCACGTGTCTCGTTTTATGAGGATTTATGCCTTGTTTCTAGGAAATAGTTTACTATGCAATGTTTCGATATTTGGGAATGTCGGGTAGTATAGGACACCTAAACTTCTCCTATATTATAAAATATTTTTACAACTCAATTCGTCCAGATTACATTCCATACAAAACTTTATTGTCTTATAAAAACACCTGCTAAAACTTATTTTTCTAAGATAAAAATATTAATCATTTCTTTACAATCATTATGTGACCGAAGGGCCGGCACCTCTTTGGTGCCCTGTCAGGATGACACCACCGCGTCTCGGCGGACACGGAAGCCGCGTTATTTAGGTCACGCGAGCGGTCGCGTAACGGAGCGATCAGAGTCGAGATAGAAGGAGAGACAGCGCACCGGAAGTGACCTACTCATAGACTCTTTAACGTAACAATTGTTTAATGGTTAATGATAGGCTATACATTAGGGCTACTGTTAAATACATTTCTCGATTTGATAGTATTAAGATATTAAGATATTACGTTGTTCCTCGATTGAGAGAGAGAGTTTACTGAAGTTTCGCGTGGTGATAAATACCTTTTGTTTTTGCTGTTTTAATGGAGATTCTCAAGCGGTCTTGGTGAAGGGAAGAAAGTTCGGAATGTCAGTCCGGTAGAGGAAGTATCCGTAAGAATGATAGAACAGTATCCGCAAGGGTGTTAGTCGATGTTTCCGATGATCTTTTTGTAGATATCCGCATAGTAAGGCACTTAGGACAAGGTACTAGTGACAACTTCTCTTTTCGAAAGACGGGCGACGACTGCCACTTTGTTGTCGGTTTTTTCATGTTGGATTGTTGAAACGAAGATATTAGGTCGAAAGGTGCTGAGAAAGCGTCGTTATTACGCCTGAGAACTTAGTAGATGTTTAGCTCCCAGGTGTAAAAGTTGACAGTTGTCGAATGAAATTATGGCTACAATGTGAAATGATATAAACACACTAGAAGTCCGAATTCGGATCCTCACAATTATATTTTTACCAAGTTCAATTGTGGAGGATTGTATCGGACAAGAGAAAGATCTGCAACAAGAGAATTACTTTTGGTTTCACAAACAACTTTTTATTATTAGGCAGAGTTATTTTTGTCAGTAAATGACACACTGTACTTTGGCACAATGATCTGAAGGGGAGTTTGTTTTATTTTTGCTTCTACCTTTTTCGTAATCTTAGATACCCCATAAACAACTTGCTGTTTGAATTGAGTTATCGTACTCAAACTAAAACAGGTATCTTGTTCAGAGCAGAACGGCCACGAGATGGAGAAAAGCATCTTTTGTAACTTATCAAAGAAATTCAAACATCTTTAGCTTATTTTCTATAAGACGACACAAAGCTGATTTATCTACCGCGTTTTTAAAGTACAGATACAGTAAAGTCCCGAAAACTCGGCCTAATGTGGACCGAAGGGTGGCCGAGTTTGTGAAAATGCCGTGTTATCGGGAATGGGGATAAAAAAGAATAAGTACGAGTATTTTCTCAGAAAATGCTGTACTATACTTGTATGCATTGTTTGCTCGAGAATACAACAGAGAATAAACTGCCCAAATACCCTTAAACAAAGGAAAAGTACGTACAGTACTTTATGAAGGCATAGAGCCTTTACTACATGAAAATGAAAATAAATGAATACACAGTGTACAATAATTTACCTGATAAGACAGACCTCAGAAAAATACTTTATGAGACATAAAGCTGTCTATAATGATAATCAAGTAGGGGATTTTTCGCCCTGCCAGGGTGTGGCCGAGTTATCCGGACTACCGGGTTATCGAGTGACGAGTTTTCGGGACTCTACTGTATATTATTATTATTATTGTAAAAGTTAAGAAGGCCGTACCAGAGGCTTAGCCTTAGAAGAGAAGTAAGAATAGGATAAGAGAGGGGGAGGGGAAGATGGGGTAAGTATGATAGGAAAGTGTGAAGAAGAGATTTGTGAGCATCCAGCACCCTGCTCCGTTTATTGGAACACAAATGAATGTAATACAAAATGTAGGTACATGCCTGAAGAAAAACAATGAAACTGCTCCAATTTGTAGAGTACAACAGACCGCGGATTAAACAAAGATCACAGTAGACAACTCGCGACTTAGCGAATACAAATGTACATGACAGTTTAGACCGAACAAAACATAACATAACATAACATGAACCCCAGCTTGGGGGGACCCTGAAGACCTAGTATTAGTTATACTGGTCCAGGGGAACAAAAGAGGGACAAGTAGCCCGAACCACTAGGCTTGCGCGTATAAAAGAAAGAAAGTTAACCGAACAACCGAACTTAGCGAATACAAATGTATATGACAATTTAGAATGAACAAAACATAATATAATATAACATGAACCCCAGCTTGGGGGGACCCTGAAGACCTAGTATTAGTTATACTGGTCCAGGGGAACAAAAGAGGGACAAGTGGCCTGAACCACTAGGCTAGCGCGTATAAAAGAAAGAAAGTTAACCGTACAACCTTGCCAGGCTATCCAGGCTGGTTGCATTGCTGAGGCAGGTTGCGATGAGCACAAACACAAAGGTAAAATATTTGCCGGCTAGTCTGTTGTCACTGGAGAAGGGAGACCATCTTGGCTTGCGGTGGTCCCTCAGGTAAAGTTGGGAAAAGTGTTTCCTGTTTTGAGAATGAATGTCTTGAAGGCAGTTGTTGTAATGTTGTTAGTAAGGAAGTCCTGACTTCGACAGGGCCAGTGGAACCCCTGAGAATACATTACATGCTTGAGCTGCTTGCGATGAGTGACGTGTTTAACACAGGTAAACAAAATGTGTTCTGGAGTTTCATCTTCTTCCTGGCATTCACAAATACTGGTCCCTTTGTTTAAGAACCTGTTGAGATATTGTTTGAAGCCACCATGACCAGTAATGTACTGGGTAATATGAAAATCAGGATTGAAGTGGCTCAATTTATCCCTCCCTTTGACGTCCGGGAAAAAGTTGAAGGTCACTCTGCCTGTCGTCTCCGTGGCCCACCTCTCTTGCCACCTGTTGATTGTGAATTCTTTGAGCTGGTTCTTTACCCAGTTATAGGGAACAAGCGAGAAGGTTGGACCATTTAAATGACTTATAGCTTTCTTTGCCAGAAAGTCTGCTTTGTCGTTACCTATTTCTCCAGAATGCCCTTTTGTCCAATGAAAGTGTACTTTGATGTGATTACTTTTCAGATTAGACACCATGTGGATGATATCTTTTATTAGCTTGAATTTAGTGTTCATTGCTTTTATTTGGTGAAGAGCCACCCTGCTATCGCTAATAATTGTTATTTCTTCTTTGGTCCTGTTATTGATTGTCCTCTGAATATGCTCCAGGGATTTGAGGATAGCCAGACTCGCTGCCTGATTTATCGCACAGAAGGGGCCTAGTTTGTAATAGGCTTGATGAACCACCCTATTGTTACAATCTATTTATACAAAAGCTGCACCCACCCCCATTGGGCCTTTTGACCCATCTGTGTAAAACTTTGTAGCTATGTTTTTGTTTTCATCTGTGCAAAGTACCACATCTGGGGGATCAGTGGCCGGGTGCATTAGGTAGTGGACTCTACTGTATAACAATTTGCAATGTCGTATTAATATCTTGCTGTACAGTGCATTCCATCAGTTTTGAAAGATCAGTATATTTCATACACTTAAAATATTTTGAGTAAATGCGAGAGATAAAATATGCGTCAACGGATTTCATATCTTATTGATTGCGTATCTTACTAGCGCTAGAAGACAAAGAACGCGGCGATTCTCTATAAAAAATATCGCGTAAGTAACGAAACACGACATCTTTCCACGCATAAAGGTGGCCTAAATATTAAAGATGCTAGCTAACGGCTGTTATAAATTACAGTACGTTCGATACACGGAGATACTTGTGTGGAATCTCGGGTCGATACTTTATGTTTAAATTGAAAATTTAAAAATTTGACAAACAAAACCATTTGCTTTGTAGTCGTAAATCAGAGAAATTTCTTTTCGATTTATCAATAGAACGAATTTTCTGAGGAGAGATGTTGACTTTGATATTATGTCGTTGTTTCTCTCCTCGGGTGACTCGAATCATCCCAGATCATTGGACGACTAAGATACTATAAATAGGGCTAAACACAAACTTCCAACGCTAGAACTGCGAAACCGAACTCTCAAGAAAATTCGTGTCCGGACTAAAAGAGTTTCTCTCAAATGTAGTAAATCGCGGCCATACCCGTAAATGGCACAAGAAAATAAAAACCGTAATGAAATATTATGTTTAACTCAAATATATAAACTCTCTCGTCAGGATAAATTTGGTGGTTTAAGATTTGAAGTCCTCTCTCTCTCTCTCTAAGGTTATCGAGACGAAACATTTTTATTGTCATTCCTAACATCGAATTTCGAATTAGTTATTTTTCAAATTGAGTTGAATAAAGTAAGCAAAATGGGTTCATTAAAATAATTACTATTGATGAAAAATGAAAACTTACCTAAGACAAGAAACGGAACAATAACAGTCGTAACCGTAATGGCAATTCCTAAATACATCAATAATCCAATTCCGGAAATTACACTCATGCCAGTAACAACCGTGGACAAGATTCCTATCCACGGCTTGCTTCTGAGAAAATCCGGCGAAAGGCACGTCCCAATAACGAAAAGTACCATTAATAACATAGAATAGAGCACGTACTTTCTGGAAAGCAGTAAAATGTCCGTTTTCGATTCTTCGTAAGAAAAAGAGTGATCTTTGACCACATTTATGTCGCTAAAGTTCAGCTTTTCGATGTTATCGATAAAATTCTTCTGCCATTTTCTGCTCAGTCTTTTTCGTGTTTTATCCCGACTGTTTAAAATATAAACTAATCTGAGAGCTCGAGCAGAAATGATTTCACTTTTATTATTAACGGCGACTCCTCCTAAAGAGACTAAATTGTATTCTTCCTCTTTGATATCGTCGCTGTCGTTTCTAGGATATTTAAGTGGAAATGTTCCGTTTTCTATTTGAGCCATGTGCTTTTGGAGAAGAAGGATTTTATTCCGCCAACACCTTTTCTTATTTTTAGCGCACAAATCTTCGTACTTCCACCGGCCTTCGTCCGTAATGGTAAATTCACGTATGATTTTGTCTAACTTCGTTATTTCTTGGAAGACGGATGATCGTAAAACAGATCCTTTGTCTTTTGGCTCGACGATTACAGTCCCGTAATAAAGTGGTTCCACGGATTTTTCGGGGTAGAATTCTGAATAATCGGTGGGAAACAACTCGGTTAAGAGCGATTTATATTTGCCGATGATACCGATTTCGCTAATCAGTGTATCGTCACTAAAGTTTATTTTTAATCTCTGAATTCCCGTAGTCAATAAAAGTGTAATGAAAATGGGAAAAGCCAAGAACCAGGGGGCATTTCTGTTGACGATTCTTCCGTGATTTTCGAACTTCTTAGATAAAAACTTGTAGGCCAATCCCGCTTTTATCGGCATTTTCAATCTGAAAAGAAACAATACGTAAGTGTTAAGTTCCATTTTAAATTCGTCTTTTTAACATTAATGCAGCTCTACGCATTAATATTTTATATATTAATGCGTATATATTGTATACATTTATATATTATATATATAGCCTATATATATTTTGTATAGTTATATATTTTAAACTGTTTTATTATCGTATTTAGGCCTACTGAATATCACTATGTAACTTTATATTCGCTAAATTAAATTTAATTATGAGATAATTTTATTTAATTTTAATAAGTATTCTTTATAAAATAAGGTTTTTTATATCGCTCGGTAAGAAAGAAGAACGACAAAAAAATGTTTGTATGCAAATCATCAATATTATAACAGTATTTTACTTTATTTATAATATTCAAACGTGTTTCTGAAAATTCTAATAAAACCAAAATAAGATATAATTTCCTCGTGTTTGTATTCTTTATAAAATAAGGCTTTTTATATCGCTCGGTAAGAACGAAGAACGACAAAAAAATGTTTGTATGCAAATCATCAATATTATAACAGTATTTTAGTTTATTTATAATATTCAAACGTGTTTCTGAAAATTTTAAAAAAACAAAAATCTATATATATAATCCGTTCAACGGGTATCCGTCTGTTTGTCCCGTAACCGTTTGATAACGAACACTAGAGGCGCCCCTATCGTGTGCCATATTTCAAACATTCAAATTAACAATTTTAATTCTTATTTAAATTAACAGTATGAATTATTATTATTCATTTCGCCAATAAATTATTATTTGGTCAATATAACAATATAAATAATTCAGTATATTTGTAATAGGAATTTATTATTTCAGGGGCTTATATCTCGCGAAGGGTCGCGAGTAGGGGTATGGTTCCTTTGCCTTTATTGTTCGCACAGGGGGCTACAGTTTGGGGCGTCGCCACCTCTTTACCTAATCTTACCATTGAGACTACAACAGAGGTGTAGAGCATACTGATAGGAACAAAAAAGTCAAAGGAACCGTGCTTCATGGAAATTTGTAAACAACGCCCACTAGGGGGCGTCCCGGGCTACTAGTAAGATATAATCTCCTCGTGTTTGCATTCTTATTTAGTAATACAGGTAACCCCCACATAACACGGCACATCTATAGCACGGATTCACTCTAACACGGTTCGAGAATTAGGAACATCCCCCATATAGCACGGTCTCAATATAACACGGTTCAGGAATTGGGTAAACCCTCGTACAACATAAAATGTAATAAAGGGTGCGTTCTTTTATACCTTCGCGTAACTCCATGCGAGCATTCTAATTGTTTTCGTGGCTACTTTGAATGGTCTTTCAACAAATAATCCATTTAATGGTTAAATTACGATCAGATGTCAGCCTTTCATTTTAGGTATCTGACGCCTTAACATTAAAAATTAAGTAAATCTTCTCACCAACTGCCAAGTTTTATACCATCCGTATCAGGTTCAAGCCCTCTAGTGGTGGACACGAGTTATCTTTGATTTGCATATAGTTACAATTTCATGATGAACTCAGGACATTTTTCTTCTAATTATCAATTAGAGTTCAGACTATTGGCAGTTGGTGAGAAGATTTACTTAATTTTTAATGTTAAGGCATCAGATACCTAAAATGAAAGGCTGACGTCTGATCGTTTTTAATTGTAAATTTTACCTATTGTTATTCGTTTTTATGAAGTGATTTCTTCAAACCAATGTAAAGGCTACTTCTATGGTGTATGAAAAAAGGATTAATTGATAGACTCAAAAATTAAATAATTTTTTGTACATAGTCTGAATCTCTAATTGATAATTAGAAGAAAAATATCCTGAGTTCATCATGAAATTGTAACTACATGCAAATCAAAGATAACTCGTATCCACCACTAGAGGGCTTGAACCTGATACAGATGGTATAAAACTTGGCAGTTGGTGAGAAGATTTACTTAATTTTTAATGTTAAGGCGTCAGATACCTAAAATGAAAGGCTGACGTCTGATCGTTTTTAATTGTAAATTTTACCTATTGTTATTCGTTTTTATGAAGTGATTTCTTCAAACCAATGTAAAGGCTACTTCTATGGTGTATGAAAAAAGGATTAATTGATAGACTCAAAAATTAAATAATTTTTTGTACATAGTCTGAATCTCTAATTGAAAATTAGAAGAAAAATATCCTGAGTTCATCATGAAATTGTAACTATATGCAAATCAAAGATAACTCGTATCCACCACTAGAGGGCTTGAACCTGATACAGATGGTATAAAACTTGGCAGTTGGTGAGAAGATTTACTTAATTTTTAATGTTAAGGCGTCAGATACCTAAAATGAAAGGCTGACGTCTGATCGTTTTTAATTGTAAATTTTACCTATTGTTATTCGTTTTTATGAAGTGATTTCTTCAAACCAATGTAAAGGCTACTTCTATGGTGTACGAAAAAAGGATTTGATAGACTCAAAAATTAATTAAATAATTTTTTGTACATAGTCTGAACTCTAATTGATAATCAGAAGAAAAATATCCTGAGTTCATCATGAAATTGTAATAAATTAAATTATTTAATTACTAAATGTATAGTTTTTGGTGCGGACAGATCTGTACCTATTTTCAATTAAACACCCAGTAAAACAATAATGTAGAACTTATAATATATAGAATCGATAAATATTAGGCTTATAAATTTCAATAAAATCAGAAATTTAACATTTGTGAATTTTATATCTGTTCGAGAACTTTTCCTGAATTTTTGTACGTTTTTATTTCTAACAATAAAATGAATGAGACATTTGTACGATCTGAGATTTACAATTACATCTCGGGTTACGAATACCCCTGTTTACGAACAAGTTGCTTTATGAACCAAATTTTAAACGCCACATTTGCTTCGGTTGCCGTACGATAACTCGGTTTCCGAACAAACTACTCGGCTGAGCCGGCCACTGACTGTCAACTTGTCAACTTCCTATACTTCCTGTATTATCGGAATAAATTTTGTACCGCGCGTGTAAATTTTTCGTTTTTCTTAATGTTATATTCTTATTTTCATTTATTATTATTTATTTTAATGTATACACTCCAGTGTGCATGCTATGTACACTATTATTGTTGTTGTTATTATAATTATTATTATTTTCTCACTGTCTTCCGCCACAATCAATTGTCGGGATAAACTTTTGTAACTCGAGTGTTCATATTTCGTTTTACTCAATGTTTTATTTTATTTTATTATTATTATCATTGTTATTATTATTTCTTAATGTATCTACTTCAATAACGGAGCACACACTCGGTATTAACTGAGCCTTGACCCACTCTTTGTATACTTTACTCTATGATCTCACTATATGGGGCTCGATTCTGGCTGGCCGTAAAACATTATTTCACACTTTCCAATCTTTCTTGCCCCATTTTCAACCAAAACCTTATACCTTCCCCTTCTTACTTCTTTTCAAAGGCTAAAGGTGGCTATACACGTTAAGTTAATTGTTTAAAACTGCCTGACCTTGAGGAACTTCAGAATTTCCTATCGCCCACAAACGAAGAAAAGCTCTCAACAGAGGCGTAGCTAGGGTGGGGCAGCTCGCCCCGGGCGCCACTCGCAGAGGGGCGCCAAATGGTTTCCAAGAAAACAAGGTTTGTGTCTGGAGGGGAAGGGGTGCCAATATAGTATCGTGCCCCGGGCGCCAGTTATGTTCTCTACGCCATTGTCTCTCAGTCAGTCAGTCGGCCATGGCATCTGATGACGACATACTGACTGTTCTTGGATGTTTATTGGCAACAAATTCTATTAAAAGTAGCGAAAAAAAGTATGCATAGAAGTCTATGGTGTGAATAGTAGTAGTAGTGATTTGGGTAGCACTGATCACAAAAATAATTTTTCATACGAATAATTTTTAATGGAATTATTTCAGATTACAAAACTAATTTTTCAAGAGAAATTTTGTGCTATAGATTCTGTTAAAAAGCATCAATTATCAGCGAAAGATCGATGGCAAGTCCATTTTACTACCAAAAAAATTTTAGGATTAAATTTTATAGACGAAAAATAGCTAATTATAAAATCAACACGTTGTATAGATATTTGATAAATAAGTAACAAATATAATTTAATTAATTATTATATTAAACTATTTCCGTATTTTACTTTGTCTTATTGTTAAAATATTATTTAAAATCCCCGTGTTTTAATTTATTCGGATATTAGAAGAAGAATAAAAATAGCAAATATATATTAATAATTGTCAACCACATTCGATATTAGTACAAATTGTAAACATTATTATCGCAAATTAATTTTATAATTTCATAATTAAAAAGAATTTATTAAACTTTGTCTTATTTTAAGTTGTCATGTTTTAATTTACTCGGATATTAAAACAATAAATTTTTGAAAATGTAAAAGAAAATGATATAGAGTACAAAGATGTTTTATGAAACTGAAGAAATGAATTGAGAAGTTTTCTAAATATTAAAATTATTTATAATTTTAATTTATAATTTTAATTTACTCAAAATATTTTTCATCTGAAAATAATTTATAACCTAAAAAATTAATTTTTTAGGTTATAAATAAAAAAAGTTAATAAGGTTATAGAAAATAATTCTTCCAAACATTCACGAGACATTGCAGTGACAGACACGCAGTCTGACACTGCGCCAGGAAAATTAAATTGTTTTTCTATTCTGCTCCGGTAGTCGGTACAGTTCTCTAAAATTGTTAAGTTTTCCCCACGCACTATCAGGAATTACTCAAGGTCAGGCATGCGTGGTCAATCCTTTGAGGATTAACTTAACGTGTATAGCCGCCTTTAGCCACTGGTACGGCCTTCTTAACATTTGCAAACCAAACCAAACCAACCAAACCAAACTTCCTGTGTTAAAGAAAGTTGACGACCTGACCAATCAAAGACCGCATTACCGACTCGGTAGTGGCGCCTTTTTGAAAGTGAATTGTTCCTGGAAAAACGGCGGAAGTGCGGCGGCACACAGGGCACTAAAGAAAGAAGAAAGGCGGAGGAAGGACGAAGCTGATATGCCTCGGTAAACTGAAACCTGTTCTGCAAAGTATCTCAAGTACTTTACAGTGTACTTTACTAACAAACCTACCTTGTTATTATATGCTAAATGTGTTATTCACGTTCGGTGATAAATGTGTTTAGGAAGATCCAGTTGCATCGTTGTTTAGGAAGATCCAGTTGCAACTAAAAAATTTTCTTCGAAGTGGATACGGGGAGTCCTCGTTCAACTCGGCTAATTACGACCAAAACTTTGCCAATTTAAGTGAACCTACGTAAAACGGGGAACATAAGGCTATAGAAAATCATATTTAAAATGATTAATTGCAGCTTTACTAAAGCAAAACGAAATAATAAACGTGAAAGAATTCTTTATTATCCCTATTTACACACATGTAAAATACTTATTATCAATATATTTGTACATCAGAAATTATTTCTAAATATCATTTATAATGTAAAGTACGCTGTTTCCTGCAGTTTATTTTTTCATTTTATATTGTTTTATAACAAGATAATAAGTGTTTCATCTCGTGCTCGAAGTTTTCTGCACGTTCATAAACTCGATCGTTTTTAAGAAAATAATTGGCAATTTTCTTCACACTTCGCAACGTGTCACGTCAGCCATCAATGGACAGTCAGTTTTCATTGGAAATTTTATCCAAATCTTAATCACCGTCAATTGTATGCTTACATTATTTATATATTATAACTAGCAGACGAGCTCGACGTTCCTCGAGAAAAAAAACATCATCAAATATTAAAATTAAAACTAAAATACAATCTAATAGATTCTTTCGTACTTTTAACCTTTCTATTAGAATATATTACGCTATAGTACAGGGGTGGCCAACGTTTTTAGCAGGCGGGCCAAACTTTAGAAATAATATTTCCTGCCGGGCCACTCACTCACCTAATATTTTTTTTGTTAATTAAAGTAAACAAGCAAGCTACAGCTTCAACCACATCGTTGCTTTCCAGTAGCTGAGATCGTGGTCAAACACTTGCCTGGTTTAATGTAAAAAAACACAAAAAATAGGTATATTTATTTTTTTGAAGAAAATAAAACATAACCGAGAATCAAACATATTTATTAAACAATTTAAAAACATTTAAAAGTGAGACATATTTGTTTTACAGAACTAAGTGCATCAAAATTGATCTCGACTGATGTCGCTACACGCAAACAGTTTTCCAAATGAACATCAGTAATTCGTGTTCTGACTTGTGATTTGATGTACATGTACTTCATGCGACTAAAAAGTTGTTCACATGCATAAGTGTTTCCACATAGCGAAACCATCGATAGAGCATGTTTGTAAAACGCAGGATATTTATCCTTGTCCAAATACGTTTCATAGAACTCTTCCAAACCTTCTTAACTCTTCTAATGTTCATTTGGTGATATGAACAATAAACTTAACATTTATGTTCATTTGACCTAGCTCTGCGGGCCGCAACACGACCCCCGGCGGGCCGCATGCGGCCCGCGGGCCTCATGTTGGCCACCCCTGCTATAGTATTTGATTTATATAACAAAAAAGGGCATCTTACGTAAAGGTTTATCGCATCGAGTGACCAATCTAACATATTTTTAAAAGTCTTTATTTCTCTGCCGTACACAATTTAAAATAAATTCGAATATATAGCATACTAAATAATTATGTAAGATGTTAAAAATTCTACAGTAATGTCACGAGGAGTTAAACATTTAACTTTCTTTATAATTCACAGATATTAAATGACGTTTTCCGAGTCCAAATAAAAAAAATTTGCCTTTCTATTGCCTTATTACCATTAACGATATTCGCAAACTGTTACAAAGTTCGTGGTGCGAAGAAATAAAACAAATCCTTCGTTCTCTGTGAATTGTACTATACTTTATAATTTTTCAAAATTATAATTAATAAGAAGATATTTGTTTAAATCATTTACACACTAATTTGTATCTTATTTAAAACCTAAACAATTTAATCGAAAAGTTTCGTATCAAGTGTAAAATACGGCTCAAGGACAGTCAAATTATTGTGACGTAAACAAGATATATAAAAAAACTTGACAAACAACTAGTAGGCCTACGAGTAGCGATCAGTCAAATCCGTAGATGTGAATTTAGAAGCATTAATGTAGAAGCAACCTCTCAAAGAAACAATCGAGAAAAAAATAATTTAAACGATGGCATACGGAGAAACTTATGGGTGAAGGATGGGAGAGAAAGTTGAGAAACAGACAATTTGGAAGTGATTCGCTCGAAACAGGACAACAGTTTAATAGATGTTCATTTTGCATAATCAAATACAAAATACAATTATAAATCAGTAAAGTACAGTACATTTATATCTTATCTACCCACGCGCCTATCACCAAGAGAAAGTTTACAAATTAAACGCGAGACAATGAATACCTGTGTTGTACTTCTAATATGAGTCTTCATCAGGATAAGTCTTGTGCTAGGTCTCTGCGGTAAGTCGCTACTCCGACTTGAAGAAAGGAAGTCGTCGTGACAGAGGTTCTTGGGTCGAGGTGAAGGCGTTCGTTGAGCCAGGTAAAACTTTCGATGTAAGAAGTTGTAAGTGTTATTAAACAGTTTCGAGCTGTAGAGGGTCAGAGCGAGTACTGTGGTGGACGGTCACAACTCAATTAACGAACCAACGGACGAACTCTGTCACCTTCTCTCATCCTTCCTTTTCTTTTGGGGTCTNCCAGGTAAAACTTTCGATGTAAGAAGTTGTAAGTGTTATTAAACAGTTTCGAGCTGTAGAGGGTCAGAGCGAGTACTGTGGTGGACGGTCACAACTCAATTAACGAACCAACGGACGAACTCTGTCACCTTCTCTCATCCTTCCTTTTCTTTTGGGGTCTTTTCCTCTCCATCGTAATGCCGAAATTTGAGAACTAGACTATGTTCTAATCCCCGATTTGTGGCGAAATTTCCTGCGATGAATAGAATGCGGTTTTGTCGGAAGATGTGTCATTTACGAAGAAAACGTTATCAAAGAGAAAATCTTATGAATTTTCTCGGTTATATTTCCATCTCAAACTTAAATGATTTTTTCGAACATATTTTATATTTTTAATATTTTATAAATTTCGCCATTTTGAAAACAATACACCGAAGCTTACAATAAAACAAAAGGGACTAAATATGTTTAAACACGATCTTAGATGATAACGTACAAGTAAAGTGTGCGGCTCAAGAAGTCATCTGTTAATTGTGACAAATTAAAATCAAACGGGGTTTTACATACTTTTCAAATATTTGAGAACAGACGGAAGACAAAAACGCTTCTTCCTCAACCATCATTTCAAAATTAGCAACTCCAGCCCTTCTATCACCCTCAATTCGACCTAATAAACATGCATCTGCTGTCACTAACGTCCTCGCAGCGAAAGAGTAGGCACGAGTCAGCCTGAATTGGAAGGGTCTATGTCAGATGAAAAGGACGGAAGGAGTTAATAGTAATTTATAATTGTCGTTATGCTTCGAGAAACACCAGAAGTCGAAAAATCTACTTCATATTCGCATACGCGATCTCGGCCACTGGCCATCTCGTTTTTTCGGATGCGAGATCTAGCGGGCTTTTTAACAATACTAGAAACGGCAAATTTAGACTTATGGTACGGTACTTGGAATTTTTAAAACATATACTTGCAAACTATACTATAAAAATAACGCTATTGCAAGCCGGTAATAAATGTGAATTACTGCACTTCATCTGGGGGATGACTAGAAAAACAAGTCAGCTATGTTGCCGTTTATCTGGTTCATTAAGTCACACGAACCGCTCGGCCATTTACGGTAGTGTAAACGCATGGCTTACATTACCGTAAATATCAAAAGATTCTCCAATTTGCTCCCTTGTAATAATACTGCCTTAATGGCAATACAAATGCAGCTGCCACCTGCGAACTACTCTAATCTAGAGCTAATCGTCACTCTCGTCTGTTTGATGCGCTATCTACGATCTGAGAATACCTTTCACCGTGTAAAGAACAATCAAATTGGCGTGTGGAGTAAGACAGTTACTGACAAGAGTGCCCGTATATTGGGACACTCGGACACGTTCCTTTTTTTTTCGTCTCTGGGTTGACTATTTCCTAATTTCCAAGGATGGTGAGGTACCAAATTTATCAACAAGCAGTAGGAAACTTACGTCTTATAGATATCTTAGTATGCAAATATAAAAGAAACTAATGAAGGATATTGTGCATTGTCCATTGTAACGGTTTTTATTAGTTATTGTTTGTCTCATGTTGATCAAAACCAAATTCCTTGTTTTCCAGGCCAAGTTAGCTCCGAGTGCAACCACAGCCAGCTTGTAGGAGTGCCGATGGGATATTCAATCATAGTGCGAAGCTTCTTGCATAATGCACGATGCACTTTTTCATAGCTTATGTCTCCATTTCTATAGTTTGGGGGCGCCGCTGGACCGTAATAAATAGACGTCCGGATTAACTTATATATCTTCACTCGCTCGATGTTCTCCGCTTTGTCGAGTAAAGGTAAGTGCTGTGATTAACTCGCCCCACCTCCTACGTCACATTTCCGCTTAGTCACTAATAAAAATTCGACCGTTCATCGGACACTTTTACATACGCACTTCTAAGTTACTACGTTACTACTAATGCCACTTCTATACAATTATCTATGCGACTTCAGATAATGGAAACGCCACTAAGATCAATTAATTAACGGTCTTATTATTTATAAAAGATATTTATTACACTACACGACGGTCTGATATTACTATTTTGAGTAACATCAACGTTTCGGTATTCGATGACAGCGTCTCATATTCGAGCATCAATCGTAAGTAAGGGCATAAAAGATTTGTGAAATGCTCCAAATGTGTGACGCCAGCTTCCCTTTACCCTTCGATATAGAAATTTCGATATTACGTAAACATTTAAAAACTCGACTTTCAGGTTCCGGTAAATCTGTTACACAACATTTGACGGTTTGAGATGTATTATTAATTTCAATTAAATTTGTGCGAAATAAGTCTAATAGTCGAATATTAAAATTTCCTCTACACAGTAACAAATACTCTTACAAAATACAGTACCTTACAGATTCAAAAAGTGTCTTTTAACCGTAAATTTTAATTTTACTGTAGTATTTAATAAAACAAGAAGCCTGAAATATTTTTTGCAACACAAACGTTTAACATACTTTCTATCGCTATTCGAATATAAATGAACTAACCTGAAAAAGTATCGTCTCCTCTTTTTTATAACGTTATCATTCTTCTTAACTCCAATTTTTTAACTTCCAAGTTTAACGAGTTAGCGGTCAATCATGCGGCAGTCTTGCCTTAGGGATATTCGCATTCTGATTAACAAAACGCTTCTTCGCCTGTTTGATTAACAATTCAAAAATTTACTTTCGTAGTTATTTAGTAAATAAATGTGTGCTTAACGATTGGTAGTCGAAATTGGGTGTCTTCGAGTGAATACAACTGTCGCGCGTGATTTTCTCCGTGCCGATTCCTAAACGAGCATTTACGTAACTGTTATGGAACAGGACCGATTCACCTTGGCCAAATCCGGCCTTTTTCCCGCCTTTTTACATGGTACGCCCTCTCTCGGATCCTCCTAGCTCCACCGCTAACGCTACAGTATCTATTTATATACATAAAGGAATTTACATTAAAAAAACACAAGTATTCAATCACAATCACTTTCATCTATACCGTTTGATTAATACGTCTAACATCGGAATTGAAAAAACCTCAATTGCAGCCATTATTTTTTCTCCTCTGAAGATTTCGTGCAAGATTTCGCAATTTTCATTTACTTGTTTGTTGTTATCTACATAAATTTTAATAGTAGTTTTAAAGATCCAAATTGCTTTTTAATTTGGATGAAAATTATTTCTACTTCCGACGATAATAAACGAAACGCATTCGGCTTCGGTACAATTATTATTATTATTTTGAATTTTTAAATTATTTTTATTAATTATAATTTTTACTTTCTACGTAGTTTCGTCCTAAATATCTCTCTCGCCCTAAGACCATTAACGCGACTAATTATAATAGCATTTGTTTTATTAACAAGTAGGCCTACAGACTTTTAAAAATATATCACTTATAATAATTTAACTATAAAAAATAAAATCTACATTTAAATATAAAGGGAATTTAATGCAGACTGTCTCGGATGCAGAGCCTATTGTAGAGATGATTGGGCTTCCCGCCTGCCTGTTTATAAAACGAAGCCATAAATTCTACCTTATGTAATATCAAAAAATAAAATTTCAAATATTTAATAATAATAATAATATGTACAGTTCTTAACTAAAACAATTTATTCTACTTTAAAAAATTGAAAATCGTCCATTTTCACCCTTCTAAATTTGTTGTGTGTTTAAAAATATGTATAAAAGTCGAAAGCCAAGAAGTACTTTCGCATTATAAAGAAAGTTTCGAGAAAGCTGACGAAAAATAATACAATTTTTTCTGGGACAAGGAAAGTTTTATTTTTGTACGTTTTGACAAAAATAATTTTGTTTCTACAGTTTTACTTATTTTACCCCGCGGTTTTAATAATTCTTATTCCAGATGACGCCATAATTAATTTTATGAGATTTTTTGCCGATATACTAAATAAAATACAGACCGAAGAGGGTACACAGCCAAAAATTCATATTTGACCTAAGTTATAGATTCATTCATGTGACTTTCAGTAAATATTGGTTTTTAACTCTTATATACCTAAGTTATAGAAAATAAACCTACTTTTTCATAAAAAAAGGAGTGTTTCTGTGCAATTTCTTCTCAATAGGAACTTTACGCTAATTCCAAAAAACATGCCATTGTGACCGTAGAGCCGGTGTCTCTTTAACACCACCGAGTCTCGCTGGACTCGGAAATAGCCTACTTTACGTCAGGATGCGACTATGCAGACGCAAATTTAGAGTGAGCGAGAGGTTGCGAGCGATTTAGTTTTCGCAAAGGGAAACCATGCACAAACGAGAAGCGAGAAATAACGCTAGCGAGAGCGAATTTCTAGTTCTCGCACATATCTGACAGATTTTGATATTTATCGCGTCTCGCTTCTTCTCGCCACATATTCTCGCTCGCTCGCGTCTGCATAGTCGCATCCTCACGCGAGCGGTAGTGGCTGAACGGTTGGATTCGAAGTAGAGGTGAGGAGAGAGACGAGTAAGTGACTCACTCGGATTTCATATTAAATAACAATAACAATTTTAATAAGAACCAAAGAAAATACAGATATATTCGATAGCGGGCATGCCTAAAGTTCCCCTAATTATACTAGGCCGTTCGTTCGAGAGAGAGAGTTTACAAACGAATCGCGGGCTGATAAATACCTTTCTTCTGAGTCAAAGATCTGTAGTAAGATGACCCCGCCGATGGAAAGTTCGATCAAACGGTCTGGGTCTTGTCCGTTAACAAGAGCACGGAGGTGTGGAGGCACGGAAGTGGAGACGATATCCGTAAAAAGGCACGATCGTTATCACGGTTTTAGCTCTGGATTCCTGGTTACGGTATTAATCCTCGAGGACGACTTTGGTGGACGGACTTCGGAAGACGACTGACTTCGGCTGTTTTTTCCGTTCTCCCTTGTTATTCCTCTTGAGTTTTTCCCACGAGGTCAGGAGGTTGTTGTTAAGGGTCTGGCGTCCAATGCGGGCACTTTATCGAAAGTTCCGGGTGACACATCACTGACTAGCTGGATCCTCCTCAACAAGGAACCAACTCCGCGGGAAATAATTTTTACCTCACACAACTAATTAAGAGAACAGCGAGCATTCAAGTATTAATTTTCATAAATTCTTTTCACTTTACCGGAAATAAAACTGGCAAAATTGGCCAATTGATTTTAGTAAGGCAGTCGAAAATAAACGGAAGCTCGAATTTGAAGTACGAAGGAAACATATTGACGTCATAGTATTACGTCCATCTCCTCTTATCGAGTTACTCCCATCGCCTGTACTCCAGCCTTTCGGTATCGTCTTTTACCTTTATTTTCTACCCCGCTAAACACCGAAGTGTGTCCAAACTAAAGAAGTGAACTTCGTCTAACACAAAGACCAAAACTGCAGAAAGAGCGTTTATTTCCTCAAAGCATTTTCGTGGGTAAATTCTTTCGAGTCCATTCCTAATCTTTTCACGTTTAAATATCTCGATTATTTTATTTAATGTTAATTTAAACTTAACAATTATTCGAAACGAATTATAAGGTGAAAAATTAACGTTTATGTAGTTAGCGAAATGCATCTCGGATATCGTCGAAACGGAATAATCAGTACAATTAATCTATATTGTATAATATTTATAAACAATTTTCAGCACGTGTCTTCATTTTAAACGTTCTAAAACTATACATTTTATTCTTTAGAAATAATTAGTGTATATATAGGCGTATTTACATACACTAATTATTTCTAAAGAATAAAATTATACGGAAAACAGATTCAAGGTTAACAGGTAAATTAAATTATTATCATAATTGAATAAGAGTATTACGAAAGTAATTATTCTTCTTCGACAGAATATCCTTCAATGGAGTTACGACAGAATTTTTTTAACTTTAGGTTTGCATTATCTTTAAGACTATTTAACTTTTAAGAATAAAATTATACGGGAAACAGATTCAAGGTTAACAGGTAAGTCAAATTATTATCATAATTGAATAAGAGTATTACGAAAGTAATTATTCTTCTTCGACAGAATATCCTTCAATAGAGTTAGGAGAGAATTTTTTTAACTTTCGGTTTGCATTAATTTGAAGAGTATTTAACTTTTAAGTCATTAATTAAATGAAAATGCATTGAAGTATGTTCAAAATGTAAATTAAATTATAAATTCTGAAAAATAGAAAAAATATGTGGAAAGCGTTGATACGTAAACGGGTGTAGTTCAATAGAAACCTGCTCTAACAAAAAACTTCCAACACTTTTTTGTAAATAGGCCTACTGCTTATTAAGTCACCTCGAAGGTAATAAATACCTGTACTTGTTGGATGAGCGTGACAATTAAGTAAAAAATGGCATTTTTTTAATAATTATCCCTTATNTTCAAAATGTAAATTAAATTATAAATTCTGAAAAACAAAAAAAATATTATCTGAAAACTATAAGAAATGTGTGTAAGGCGTTGATATGTAAACGAGGGTAGTTCTGTATAAACCTGCTCTAACAAAAACTATAAATTTATGAACGTTAATTCATTTAGAATGTTAAATTCTAGATTTGTGTTCCCTTATATTGTGAAATGTGAAATTATACTTTGTTCGGGGCGAATTTTCTGGGCTTGCTTAGCATTCGCCGCCTGTCAATATACTTTTTATATCAGAACAAATATGTCAATAATAATTTATTCTAACGTGTGAAGTCTTCTATCAATTGTGTTTGCTTTTACATCGGCAGCTACCGGTTAACCGTTTTAAGTCACTGCTTGAGGAAAACTCGATCCCTCGCTCGTGTGAAGGTTTGCCGCAGCAAAGTGCACGCGAATGACGTCATTCGTAGCATTTAACAAGGCCAGATTGTATCGAAAGTTTGCGGTTCCCAGTCAGCATACATGTACTGTGTACAGGGGCGGATCTACAGTAGGCCTACATAGATATTAATACGGCTTAAGCCCTGGGCCCACAAAAATTGAATTACTATCATAAATTTTCAATACTTTTTCATTATAATATATTTAATACATTTCATGTGTACTGTGAGAATCTGGATGGATACCCATCTAATTTGCATAATTTGCACTCATTATTGATATACATTAAGCTAAATTTGCTTAAAAATTTTAGATAATTTAATATAACCTAAAAAAGGTTATAAAACTTCAACATCCTGCAAACATGCTCTATAACGCAACCTTTATGGAGAAATGAGGATGTTTTGCTTTCTTCCTCTACCTCTTATCTTAAATTTTCCCCAAACACCTGTCCGAATGACACAACTAAGCATCCCGTCAGATGATGCTTTTCTGGGAAAAACATGGGGAAATATTCGGTGATAAAAGGGCAGGCTTACACACACTTGAAGCAGATCACCCCAGATCGAATTGCCATGTACAGTACAGGCAGGACATCTATGATCCATGATCTAGTCATATAGAGACCTCTCTACCTGCCCTTCCACCAGTCTCTCCTTCCTGAATTTGAACCAGAGCACTCCTAGCCAACAACCACTATTCGAGTCATGTCCACCGAGGTAATTTAAATTGATTGTACACTCTCTCTCTCATACTGATTATAGTCATAGAGTAGACATATGTTCTATGTGTTGTTAATCTATTATGTGTTTTGTTATTTTGGTCTTCAGTGATTAAATTGTTGATTTTTATATTATATGACCTTCTCAGTCTAGTATTCATTGACTATGCACAACCGAACCCCACACAGAACCTTACCACTCGGGTTCTGTTAAAATAAGCCATTTAGTGACAAAGTGAGCAGATCTAAAGGATCTGACGATTAGAGGGCGTTGACCCTCGTCCGTATTCTCACAGTACATATAATGGGTTTTATAATAGTCCATACCATTTTGT